TGCTCCTGAAGGACTGCACACCGTGGAAAGGACCCATGGTGGAGCAGTTCGTGAAGAACTGCAGCCCGTGGGAAGGGCCCACGTTGGAGAAGTTCATGGAGGACTGTCTGCCGTGGGTGGGACCCCACGCTGGAGCAGGGGAAGAGTGTGATGAGCCCTCCCCCTGAGGAGGATGAAGCGGTAGAAAATAACGTGTGATGACCGTAAACCCCATCCCTGTCCCCCTGTGCTGCTGGGGGGGTTTGGTAGAGAAATCCGGGAGTGAAGTTGTGCCCGGGAAGAAGGGAGGGGTGCAGGGAAGGTGTTCTGAGATTTGGTTTTATTTCTCATTCCCTTACTCTGTTTGATTTGTAATAAATTGAGTTAATTTTCCCCAAACTGAGTCTGTTTTGCCCATGACAGTAATTGGTGAGTGATCTCTCCTGTCCTTATCTCAACCTGCAAGCTCTTTGTTATATTTTTTTATATTTTGGTGGGCACCTGGCATCCAGCCAGGATCAACCCATCACAGCACTGTTGTACTCTGGTGCACTCCAGTCTCTGTATGACAAACTTCACCTTGATAGCCAAGTGTCTTCTGTGGTTGGACATGCAGGCAAGATGAAAAAGCATATTTTTCCTGTTATATTATTTAGTACTACAAGATCACAAGAGCAGCCACACAGGAAGGTAGGGTAGAACTGTTAGTGCACACTAACATACCTATAGTGATGCACGTTAACTTCCCTGTGTAAGAAGCATAAATAATAAATGAGCAGTGAGGTTTTTTGATAATAAGATACATTTTTCGATGCTGAACACCTTTGATAACTTATCTTCAGATTGGAGTGCTTGACAGGACAACTCTAGTTCTTCACACTTACGCAAGACAGCAAAACTCAAAGTTAGTCAGAGATGTTCTTGAAAACTACATTTAACTAGAAGCGTTATGGTTGCAGTACCCTGACTGGCTTTCTTTATGAAGGTGCAAAGTATGATTTCCTCCTGTCATTTTATACCTATCTGTTGGTAGGTAGTCATTAGATTCATGTGAACTTGCTTTATATGAACAAGAAAGCTCTTTATATAGTTCTTTTAATATTCCAATGAATTTTGTAGTCTTATTTATGAAGGACAGATATGAACATTCCTGGTCAAAAGTCAAACTGTTGTATAAAAGGTTTTGTTCATTTGAAATAGATATCAAGGGCAGAGCAGTGGTGAGTTTCCAAGTTAGTTACAGTACTGTGTATTTACTAATCTACCTATTTGAAACTACAGCATTCTCCTTAAATAGAACAAGCTTTAAGGTTAATAAATCCATGTTAGAACATGCATGGAATACTTATTTCTGGCCATATATTGTTTATTCTCTACTACATTATTTGTCTGAAATTATAAACCAAGTTTCAAATGCTTTTGCCATTCTCATAGTAAAAAATATTTGCAACTATTATTGTGTTAGGTGCATGTACAGATTAAATGAAAATTGGAAGTATCAAAATTGCTATTGTCTGTGTGTTAATAACCTCTTATTTTCTGGTTTTACAAACAATCCATCAAATACAAATTCCAAAAGTTTTTAGGAGGGTAGTTCTAGAAATCCAGTATAGAACTGAAAAAAATACATAGATGGTGATATTAGGTATATTCTAGGAAAATGAGTGTTACAATAATTTATTCTGCTCTAGGCAGTGTTATGAATCCATCATGGCCCACAGTGAAAGAAAACATGTCAAGAATTCTGGAATACCTTTCTTTACCATGAGACACCCACACAAACTAATAATAGGACAACATTCAATAAAGTACAAAATAAACCTAATAGAAACAAACTTACAGAAAAAGTTTTCTAACTATACCCTCTATACCACACACCTAAAATCAATGAGTTTTTAATTCCCTTCTTTTTTTCCAGTGGAAAGCCACACTATCACAGGAGGCTAAATTTTATTTCAGTGAACATAAAGACTTGACACAGAGAAAATACTTATGGAGCACAAAGCACAGTCTTGTGCATGTCTGTCAAGAGAAACACTGAAATTACTGCTAGGGAAGTCTAGGAAACAATGTATTTTGGTGGTGTCCTCTGTGCAGAGCAGGGACTGGTCACCAAGGTAAATTGTCATTCCAGTGTAGAAATATTTGTGACATGAGTGCCTGCAGTATCAGAGAACAGGAGAAAGACAAGTTATTGGTGTCTTGCCCTTCATTCAGGTCTACCACACTTATTTGTTCTTTCCATACTATAGTTGAACTTTCCATTTTATAACCAAGATTAAAACAGCTACAGAAGTGAACTCATAAACCTTTTTTTTCCAAATTCTGTCCAAAACTTAACTGTGGCTAATGGATACACTTCCATCAACAGCTGTCAAAACCTAAACTGACTGCTTAATTCCTAAACCTTTTCTCTAACAGCAGTGGGACTATGGAAGTTGGAAAACTCTAACTCTCAAGATCTGTGCAAAGCCAGCAGAGCAACACACACATATAGGGTGAAAGTTGAAGATGTACAGATTTAACAGAAGCCCAATGAAGCTAAAGGAGAGTAAGTTTTGTAAGGGACAGAGTAATTGATGTAATCATGAAAGCAATAAATGGTCTGGCCCAGACAGCTGTCTTTTCTAAGTGGCCTTCCTTGTTTTCTCTTTTTATCCATTTCCTGTTTCATGCTCCTAATCAGGTTCAAATGAGGTGTATCTTCTCCATCTTTGCAAGCCTGACCTACTTCAGAGGGATTAGCAGCACAGTGACATGTCTCCCCTGTTTTAGGAACACCCTGTTCTGTTTTAGGGATGAAAGCAACTCTGCATTGTTCCTGAGCAGCCTTTGCCTGAACTGCAAACCTCCTCTGTGTTGAATGTGGCTAGAAGATACTTATAAATTACTTATAAAGTAAGTCTTTTGCTCTTATCATCCTGGTCTTTTTTTCCTGGTCCTTTTGAATTCACAGGAACACTCCCATATATTCGGAGCCATCATTTTACATGTTCCTTCTTAGCCACTTCATGGAAATCTGCTTTGCCACCCCCTTCATTTGCATGTTCTCTGAGGACACAAATATAACTATTTGGCATCTTGTACTAAACAACAAAATATTCCTCAACCTTCCCTTTTGCACATCAGCTCTTTGTCACATAAATTCTCCTAATTTGGTTCCACCAGATCTCAAACCTCTCTTGGTTTTGCTCAATCACTTCCTGCCCCCCCTGAGAATCTATAGAAAAACTAGCATGTTTCCCTCAGGTTTCCCAAGTTCTTACTGAGCAGCAGAAAAAAGACCTTTCTGTACTATTGCCTCACAAGGGAACTTCAGCCAAGTGTGTGTCTTCTCAAATAACTTCTACTACTGTATTTCTTTCTGTTCACTATGTATCTCAGGTCTAAACACTGCTAAAATACCACATCCAGTTTTCAAACTATCCATGCAGGAAGGGCACTGATAAGTTAGACAAGTTTTTTTTTTGTTGTTGGGTGGTTTTTGTTTTTTTTTTTGTTTCTACAAACCACAAGAATAGCTAAAGGATTAGAAAAATTGTAATATAGAGATTTTTGAGTTCAGTCTACGTGTATCACATGGAAGATATTAGAAGATATATGTGTTCTGTGAGACTCTTACTTACCTAATCCTCAGCTGGCATTAATTGTGGTGGCAAGAAGCTTATGGCTCAGAAAGGCAGGGAACTCTACAATGCTGGGAAGCTGTCGACAAAAATCTTCTTTGGTAATGGCAGGTACTATTTGAATACCTAGTGAGGAGAGAATATCACTGAGTTATTGGGAGAGGTGACCTACTCTTGAGAAGTAGCAAATGAGGAAAATTGCTGTCACTGTTTCATGTCTGCACAGTGTGAGTGGTCCTATGGGCAGGTCTGTCTCCCCGCTTGCTTGGTGTTGGAGGAACAGTGGAAGCCCATAGTTGCTGCTAAACTCCTCCTGACTCCTGACTTTTGCTTTTGTCTCCAGATGCTAATGCTGAGTGCACTTCAGTGTCAATAAATAAAGGCCAGGCCTATACTAGGGCTTTAAGGAATGGTTTGATCAAAGCCCAGATTCCTACAGAGAAATATGGCAGTAGTGTAAAGGAGCCTCGTAAGACAAACTGGCAAAGTGTCACAAAATCCAGAGGTGGTAAGTCCTACTGTTTCCTCTACTGAGGGAAAAAAAAGTGTGTAAGTGTTTTAACAAGAGAGCTTATAAACTTTTGGAGTAACTGCTAGAAAATTCTTCATCACAAGTTACTTCCAAGCCAAGATAGCTTCCAGCCAAACAAGAACTAATTTCCCTATCAGACAGGAAGGCAGCTCAGGCCTGTTCAGTGATCTCTTATTTTTTCTGGTCAATTTACTAGGCTAACTAAGGAAGTTGACTGTCTTAATTACCATTGAGAGTGCAGTCATTCCACTCAAGGGCAGGGCTGCTGTTCAGAGGGACCTGGACAAGCCAAAGGAAAGGGGCTGACAGAAATCTCATTGAAGTCAAGGAAAAACACAAAGTCCTGTGTCTGGGATGGGTTAAACAGTGCATTAGGATAAACAAGCTGCCAGCCTGGGGCACACCGTCCCTTGGGGCCCTAGTGGACGCTTGAAACGTGATCCTGCAGTGCAGCCCGACAGGGCTGGTGGCTAACAGCATCCCAGTGAAGTGAATATCGCTTTTTACTCAGCACTCATAACGTGGCACCTTGAATAAGGCATCCCGTTATGGGTGCCCCAATACCAGAAAGACTCGTTAACCTGATCGAGTGCACTGAAGCCACGGCGATGGTGGGGCCGAAGCACTTGATCTGTGGCCCTGCTTGGAGCGGGAGCTCGGTCTTGAGTCTTCAGCGGGGCCTCTCCCCGTGAGGGGAGGGAGAGTCTCCGGCAGCTGTCCGCAGCACAGCCCGCCTCAGCACCCGCCTGACGCCCCGCACCAAACGGCTCCAGCCCAACGGCAGCTCCGCGCGCCCCCCCCGCGCGCCCGCGCAGGCCCCGCCCCCGCGGCGGCCGCTCGCGCCCTCACTTCCTGGGGCGGGTGGGTTGAACATGGCGGCGGGCTGCAGGGGCGGGTGGCGGTTCCTCTGCACCGCGGCCGCTCTGCTCCTCGCAGCGGTGCTGGGTCCCGCCGCCTCCGCCTCCTCCTCCCGGGCAGGCAGCCCGGGCGAGCTGCGGAGCCGCGTGCAAGTGCTGGGCGGCTCCAACTGGAGCCTGGTGTTGCAGGGCCAATGGATGTTGGAGTTGTGAGTAACGGCCGCTTTCCCGCCTGCCTCAGAGGCAGCCGGTGCCGGGGGAGGGGGCGGCTTTCCTGTGTGCGGTGTCCGGCGTCTCCCGCCTCAGCTCGGCGCCTGTCCCGGGGGGCGGGCATGGCCGGTAACGCCTGTTCCAGCGCGGGGAGAGGGGGGCCGGGCGGTGCCGGCCTTCCCACCCCGCGAAGGGAAGTGCGGGAGCTTGCAATGGCTGGCCCGGGGAGGGGGGGGCACGGGCGGAGGCGGCCGGGCGGTGACCACGCAGGGATACCTAAGGCCTATGATCCCCTCTTCCACCGAGCGTTGTCAGCCCTGAGCTTCCAGGTACATGCTCACCTTATTTGAGAGGATCTGATAAAAGTAGCTTTCCTTCAGGTTCTCGTCCTGTGCGGGTACAGAGGGCCCGAGCGCCCCAAGGTTAAACCGGGCACATTTCAGTGAGCCTGTCAGCGGTGTTATTTGAGAGAACTACCTGCTGGGGAGTAGTGTCAGGCACTGCACCTTGCACTGCTTACCCGTTCGGGACTTTCAGTGGATTCTGTGCAAGCTAGGAAGGCTGAGTTTGGTAGGTAATATTTAGCAGGAGTAGGTTTCCGAAGTGGTGTTACATAATATGCCAGTACGCCCTCACTTCCAGCTGCCTTGTTCTAGAGTTCTTGTTCAAGAAGATGCATCAGATTTCATTAACTTTTCAGTGCTGCTGTTGCTTTATCCTGGTGACAGCTAGAGAGGTCTGCCTATTGCCGGCTAGCGTTTTAAGTGCTTCCAACAAACTGTAGTGTCGTGGCTTCACTTGTGACATGATACTGTTCTTGAAACACGCATGATGTTTTGCTCTTGGAGTGTAACTCACCTGCTTGTATTTAGAAGGGGGAGAAGGAACTTGAGGGTTTTTTTTAAGACAGCAGTTAAACAACGTAGTATAAGTAGGCTGTATGCTCACGTGGTATCTGTGTGCTGTGCAGCTATGAAATAGGATTTTATTGTGGCATGTGTGCTGCTCCTCTGTGGAAGTGCTTGAGTTTGAAACAGACTGAGTAGCCTGTGAAACAGACTAGGTTGCCCATCAACATCTGAACTTGTGTTCCCTTATAAATACTTACCCAGCTGCTTTAGGTTTTGTTTTAGTGTTGAATTTGAGTTATCTTCAGTCTCTTATTAGGGGGAGGGACTGTCACTTCCCCTAGGGCTTTACTGCTCAGGATCCTACTGGACACCTGGTATTAATCAGTGAATAGATGGGAACAGTCCTGAAATAGCTGATTGAGAGACCCAGGAAGGCCCACTGGTGTGGCTAAGGATTTGGGTTTGACTTTAAGTCTCTTTTTTTCCCCTTTAAATTTATTGTGTTCTACAAGGTGGGGGAAGAGATGATCTTGGAGTGGGAGAAAATAAATTTATTTTTTTAATTGAAATTTTTCCATTTCTGACATCCTAGTCCTATGTGGACGCTATTGTATGAAAGTTACTGATGCATACATGAGTTGGTGAATCTTAAGGAGCAGAAAGGTTATTTATGGTGACTCAAAGTTTTTATTTCTAAGATAAAATATTTAAATAATTAGTGGTGCATGCCCCTGAGGAAGAAAGAAGAACTGACTGAAATCAGAAGTGGCTGGGATAGCGAACAGTTAAAATCCTTTGGGAGTCTTTACTCCACTTGAAACACTGCACTCTGGATTGGAGTGACAGGTAGCTGACAATAGCAATGGTGGCAAAGTTAGCTTTAGTGCTAGCGGAATACAGTACATGTTGCTTCATTGCTTAAATTAGACTTATTTTTGTTTTATGTACAGTGTTTGATGTGTGAAAGATCCTTGGTCTTCCATGCTACTTTCTGTGGTATGTTTCTAGCGCTTTCTGCTTTTCTCCTAACTGAGAGGGAACCTGTCTTTACTGAGGATGCTAACTCAATGCTGCTGTTCCTGAATTAGTGAGAGTTTGAGATTCCCAGTTGTGTTTAAACAGGAGTTTGAGATCTACTATTGATTCTTACGATTCTTGCAGCTGTTTTCATGCTGATGGATTTTGACTTCTACTGATTTTTATCTGGTTCAGAGCTGGTGATCCTGACAGGAGTCCTGCATGTCAGTTCATTGATTCCTTCCATGCTGTGTGATAGATCAGTTGGCAAGACTGCAGTATCATTCATCAAAACCTCATTTTCACAGAGAACCTCCTGTTTGTTTATAAGACCTTTGTTTTCCAGCAGTACTTATTGTTACGGGTTTTTTAATGCACATGTTATTATAGGATCTCAAAAAAAAAAAAAAAATCTGTCTCCTGCTTTAGATTACTGGCTTGAAGCCTCCTGCCCTGGTAGGAACGGGTACTAGTACTTCTGTTTAATGTCAGTTTTTCTGTTTGTGAAAGTAGTGTAGGCAAATTATTGCATGCTACCACTTTTTTGTTGTTCTCAGGTGCACAAATAGAGAAACTTAAGTCAGAAATTACTTGTGTGCGGGGTTTGCAGTGGAAATAGGATTTTTCTTCCTTCATTCCTCCTAGCTAAAGAGCGTGTACTTGGCTGACTTTTTGTAAATATTCAATTTTTCATAGCTGGCAAAATTGCAGCCACTGGAAGCACTGCTGCATTTCATTGATAAAAATGTTCTGGATAATTCTGTGTCTCCAAGACATTGCAACACTTTGCTTACTGTTACTATCGCAGCATACAGATCTGTGCTGAAGTGCTGTGAGTGTGGTACTGGAATTAACTGTTTTTAAAGGTTTCCTTATGGACATATTTCTACTCTGTAGCTGCAAGAAATGATTTGTTAAGATGAGGAGTTTTCTTTTTTTGTCTTTATTTTTAATATTCTGTCTGTTAAGAATATAGAAAACTAATTTCGGGTCTGTTTATTTAAAAGTGCATTTTGCATTTGTAAACATAGCTTGTTCCAAGCTTGATTGATCTTAATTTAACATCTTCTTCTTTCTGAAGTAGATTAAAACAAACAAACAACACACACATACATTGTCATTTATTGTTAAATGTTGTCCTGCTGTCTAGCAGGCCAGATTATCACAAGGGTTCAGTCGTCCCACTAGCACTTTTGTCTGTAGTTTCAAGGGAGTGTGCTAAAAATGTAGCTGAATGTTTTGGTATTTGCATAGTTTAATGCTTTTAAATAGTTGGCTTGAAACACTTTGTGTAAATAAACTCCTGAAGAGTTCCACAAATTATTTAACAATTACTGTAACTTAGATTGAGAGATCAATAAGATTGGGAATTTTCTGTTACTTCTTCTTGATTTGTTAGTATCCAGGCTTTTCTTTGTCATATTCCTAAAAAAAAAAAAAGCAGGAGGGAATGAAAAACAAGTTACCGCAACTCTGCTTTGGTTCTGAAGCTTCTACAGCCCTCCTGACTGAGTTCTGAGGAAGTGACCAAATTATCTTTGGACTCTTATTTAATAACCGAACACATGGCAGATTGCTGTGCCTTGGCTGAACAGAAACTGAGAAAATGTGAAACTGAAATATCCTTGGTAGCAGATGCTTTACTATTATAGAAGGGGACAAAACCATTTAGAATGATGGAACTTAATCTGCTGAAGTTCTAGAGGATTTCACATAATCTTTCAGTGATTGGCTTTCTATTTTAAAAATAATTTCTCCATATTTAAAAAAAAAAGCTTGAGATAGAAAGTTGTTGGGGTCTTTTTTTTTATTATTGCAGATGGTACTGTTATCCTTTTCTTGTTTTTGAAACTAGAGAGCTGAATAACTATGATATACCCTGCTTTGCTTCTCATCTTGTTCTTGGAAGTTTAAAATGTTACCTTACAGAATACAATTTGTTTGGCTTGTAGTGCATCACACCACAATGGTATACAGTTACTTTTCCCCTTTATTCAGGTATTATTGGAAAAGAGATGCATGTCAGGTTACTGAAGTAAATAACAGCAGAATGGGAATTCATAAGGTTGAGCTTGCACGCTGAAACAAATTCCCCAGAACAGTGCCTCGGTGTATGTCGCTTCAGCGGGCCCATCTGTGATTTAAGGCATTTAAGTGAAACTTGGCAGGAGAATCCAGGGAAGAAACCTCCTTTGCTCTTTGAGGTAGGTAGGGCTTTGACAATTTGTAAAAAAAACTTGTTTAACTTTTGTGGAGCAACTGTTTTTGGGTTGGGAGGTCTTGCCTGTCTTGTTTTGGAGGGGTTTTGGCACATGGGAGGAAACTTCTTGTCAGCTTCTGGAGCATGTATTATTATGAGATAGATCTTGGTAGATTACAGGGACTAACTTCTGTATCTTTGGCTACTACCTGCTTGCTTGAAAAGTAGACTAAAACCATATAGTTGACCTTCTGAAGCTTATCTTCTGTTGAAATTACAAAGCCGCCTATCCTGCCTCAAGACCTATCTGTATTTAGGAACAAGAATGAATTAAATGATAGTCTTAAGGTAACAGCCAAACACGTCAGGCATGGTCTTTTTTTGGTTTTTTTTTAGGTATGTTTATGGAATCTGTAGCAATAAGGCAAAACTACCTAAAAGAATAAAAGTAATAATTATTTCATTCTGATACTATTTTTACCATTCTATTAGGTACTGTTTCAACATATGCACCTCTAATTTTAATAGTACTCCCAATCTGAAATCCAGCAAATAGCTTGGTTTACTATAAGCAGTACCTTTTATAAAAGTTGTGTGCCTTGAATCAAGAAAAAGTAGACTGAAAGGGGAAACTTTCATCTTTGCCTATTTTGCTGTTTTCTCTTCAGCAAATTCTCTGATGCCTGTATCTATAAGCTGTTTCTCCTTTGTTCCTAGATCCTTGCAACTTCGTGAAATTGCCATCAGAGCAATTTGTAGAATGGTATTTGAGGTTACATCTGTTCAACACTGATAGTTACTGATAGTGAAAAAGCAGATAAAAGGAGTCAGTTACACTCATTTTCAAATGAGTGAATTGGTGAATTCCCTAGCCAAGCAGTTACAAGAAGAGAGATGAGTGGCTTGGAGCCGGAAACTGTGTATCAGTAAATCTTAGTAAAGTCATTCTGTGTTTTCTGATCAACTCTGTAGTGATGTGGCTGAATGGCATGTTTGCTTTTACTGGTTTTAGGTATTTATTTATTTTTTTTGTATTGCAGCCATCAGTGAAATTACTGGTATTTGAAAGCCAAAGCTTGGTCTTTCATGCTTTAGATCAGAGATAGACACACACTTTGCTTTGACTTTTTAAGAGTTTAAAATTTTGCTTTTGGATTGCTTGCTTTATGCCTTCTGAAAAAGTTTCAGGTATTGTAATGGATTGGAGTAGGAACTGGAAAACACCTGGCTACTTTGAAATAGTGATTTTAATCCACTTAAGTCAATTGTTCTTTCAATGGACCTGACCAGAAGATAGATGTTAGTTCCCTTATGTATGGAGGGTAGACAGTGTATGAGGATATTTCAGTTGTAAAACTTTGTGCTATGTAAGAGAACTGGTAATGTCAGAAATGAGGTGTATGTTGAGAAATGTGTGATACCTGCTTGCAGTGAATAACTTGGCAGTGTATAATTTATAGGTATGTGCTGTTTTCAATCTGACTTTTAAATGGTGGAGATCAGTAAATAGCTTTTTAATGTGTAACAGGCTACTGAAAACTTCCTTTCCTTAACCAAGTGCCCAGGTCTTGATTTAAATTCCAGTGGACTTTGATTTTTAAATTGGAAAGACCTGAGTGCTGTATTCTTGGTGCGCTTGTAGGGCATAGGGCACAGCACAAACAACAAGTTAACAGCTAAAGGTACCCCCTTGTGCAAAGGGAGAAGCTAGAGGAGTAACAGCGCTAAATTTGGTGGTGTTGACAAGGTGCTAATTGTTTCCTGATCTGCCTGTGGAGTAGAACAGAATCATAGAATCATAGAGTATGGCAGAAGAAATTTGGTTACATCTGCTTTTGTGAGTGACCTGGTCTTGCATCTTATGACTTGATGAAAAGTAATGGAGACTGGTTTCACAGCACACACATGGATCTACTTTCCTGCTCTGACAGATTTATTTATTTATTTACTTTTTCCCGGGGAATATAAGAATGGTAGCTGTACTGTGACTCCTGTAGAAATACAAATCAGCCACAGTTCTAAAGGATTCATTAGAAGCCTGCATTGAAATAAAGTAAGTCCTTAAGCTTCAATTCTTCAGGGTGCAAGAAGTTTTTTGAAGCTTTTGATAAAGGTGACCGAAGTATGAAGTATGTTACACTTCTGTATTGTGTTGAAACAGAAAGTGTAAGGGGAGGTATTTTAAGACTGAGAGGGAAGCACAATAAGGCTTTGGCAATAGAATGTTTTTTGTTATTTCCAGGAGGCACTCCTGAATTCCATAGTGCTTCAAATGCTGCATAACAAATGCAGACAGTAAAGCTTCAGAAAAGTGAGGATGTCAAAGTAAACAGCAGTGATAACTCTTCGAAAAATCTGATGTCTATTTCAAGTTCATTCTTGTATATGTGGGGACAGGGTGTAGCCTGGCTGGCAAAAATTGAACGTGTAATTTCAGGAATGTAAAGCAAATATTTTAAGGCTGATTGTGCCGATGTTCAGCTTGAGTGGCTGGATCTTGTAGCATCACATGTGGCTGTTGCCATCCCACATCCAATATTGGTAATAAAAACTAGGAAGCCAACAACTAAGGCTTTTTGTGAAGTTCATTGTTATGTTCTGTCACTGCCAAACTTTGATACGGGTGGATTTTAATGCTTCTTTAAGCTAAAGAAAATGTTTATAATCATATAAATGTTAGCCATGTGTATTGAATATTTCACTTAATTTCATTTAGAAGAAAGGCTTATGAATGTGAAACTTAAGCATAAATGTTGATATGGGCCAAATTTCTATTTCAAGATCAGATAGTACCTTGAACAGGCTAAAGGGTGCATTAATCTTTAAAATCTCATGGCGTGAGTTTGACACATCTAGAGAAGCTGGATTTGGAAAACATTCTGACTTCTGTCTTTAATTTTAGAGCAACATCAGCAGCAGCATGTGATGGATGTGTGCAGTTTCTTACCTACCAGTCAAGCTACTGTAATAAAATAATACTCAAGTACAGTATGTGTCAAAATATTATTAAAAGCCTTCTGTAGGCCAGCAGCACAATGGGAAACAGCTCTACATGTGAGACTTGTTTCCAGCATCTTTTTAAAAGATACTGAGGGGCTATTTCTTGGCAGGGTAAGATTTATGGACTGTTTTCAGATACACTAATGTAAAGTGATGTTGATTCAAAAAACCACAGTATTAGCTTTCATACTTAAAATCATAAATTCCTAGTACAGTAAAATACAACACATTTTTAAATTGTATCTTTAACTTCCAAATGACAAGCTTTCCTTTTTTAAATACTTAGGTTTCAAAACTACCATAAAGCATTCAGAGTAAATTTGATTCCACCTCTTCTGTGAGAAATTACCTGGTTTAGGTTCAGTCTTATTTTCATGAAACATTTGTGGGTGGCTGGAGAGATCTCAGTCTGCAGCCACTAAGTAAGCATTCCTGATCAGAGGACAGCCAGAGAATAGGAAGTGCCACTCTTTAAGTCAGATAATAGTACTGGCAGACAAGCTGAAGGAGTAAGGGAGTTCCTTGTAGAGGTTCCCAGTTAGAGTGTAGTGGTTATGTGGACCGTTAAGGATATTGGCCTTTGCCCATAAAGAAATCTGTTTCTATTGTTAGCAGTGGATGAGGAGTGTGGTAGCATATATGAAGTAATGTGAGAAGTAGTGTGTCTCTAGACCTACTATTTTTGCTCCCTTTCATTTTAAAATATCAGAAACTTGCACATATACATTTCCACCTCTACCCCCCCAATAAATTAGGTTAAACCATGTAAAGGTCTCTTTTCATTTGTAAAAGGGTAAGTCTGTGTATGGGCAATTGCCATGGCTTAGTTACATGCTATACCTAGCTGTTCCATGTTACCTTAATTGCGTATATTGAAAGCTGCACAAGTTTGACACAGACTTTGTGAACCAAGTTAGGGTAAAATACATAAAGACGGCAAATGGGGTTTTATCAGCATTTAAGCGTTATCTGATATTATCCTTTCGTGTTAGCTGTTCTGTCTCCATGTTGATATTATCAATAATAACTGCAAACTTAGTTTGCTTATCCCAATTGGTAGTATTGAAAACTCGGCTTTTGAAACATGCTTTCTTACTTTGCTGAAATTAATTCTGAGAAAAAACAGGAGAAAGACAGGCAGTATGAGCAGTAGGAATTTGATGTGCACTCTTCAAATCTCTAAAGAGTGCTATCAAAAAGGGCATGCTTTGATGTATTGAGTAGTGGGCTAAGGCAAATGTAATTTCTGAAAGTTCTGAGATGTGGGAAATCAATACAAAATGTTCCATTGAAGGATACCGCTTCAGAGGACAGCCTGGCTTCAATAATTTAGATAGCTGCAATGGAAATGGATTTATTTCATATGTAAATAGAATAAATCATGGGTGGTGGGGGGTTTGGATAGGAATTTCTCAAATCTGTGGAGATTTGTGTTTGTTTTAATAATGTGAGGAGGAACGTAGGGCTTGATACAAAGCTACTTGATCATCTTATTCAGTACACTTGATTAAGAAAAACTGTAGGCTTTTTCCTTTGTGATTGATGTGTTTGCATTTTCTCTGTATAGTAAATAAACTTGAATGTCTGTAAGTGTAAGGATATTAAAATATTTAACCTGTCTTCCCCCTTTAGCTATGCTCCTTGGTGTCCAGCTTGTCAACAGATTGAATTGACATGGGAGAGTTTTGCAAAGGAAAGCGAACGTCTAGATATCACTGTGGGAAAGGTGGATGTCACTCAAGAACCAGGTATAGTATGGAATAGACTGTTTTAATAAAAGGAATTATTCAATATAAGTACCACTTAGTATCTGGGAGTGTGCTTTATTTTACTGGAGTACCTGGGATACCAGCCAAGTCAGATAAGAGGTTTCTAAATAAAAATAACGTTATCCACATTTTGTTTGTCCTTATAGTTCATATCTGTGAGCCTGAGTTTATAAACTCAGTTTGAAGGATTAAAGAATTGGGGGAGTGATCTGGCTTAATACTGTATTAAAAAGGGCTTATTCTCTATTTTAATCTACTTTGCTGAAAGCTGTTGCCTGTCTCATTCCTCTCTGCTCCAAACTGTCTGCAGAAGAATCCAGTTCTGTAGCCTCCAGTTACGGAGAGTTTCAGGGTGTGGTAACATTACCGCAGTGTGAGCCTGCTTTAATAAGTTCTTAACTGTTTCCATGATGGTGCTGTTTTCTTGTCTTGTTTAATTGTAGTGGTGCTTTAAAGTGTAGATGTTATTGTTGTTTTCTGTTGGTGATGCACATATGCAAATGTGTTTACAAAAAGGGTTTCCTAACTATCCATAGAAGCATGAACACAATCTTATTTATTCCTTTAGTGACTCTCTTAAAAGTTTTGCATCTATGTTTGTGTAAGCAAGTACCAATATTGTTTAAACCTCTGCATCTCTTGGGAATGCTTCATGCTTGTTTTGGCTTCAAAGGGATAAAAGATTTTATCAGCAATATCAAAAGACTGAGAGAGTTAGGAAGATGTTACTAAAATAAAAAGGGCTAAGCTTTACTGATTGTCCATTTTATTATTTGAAAACATGCTGAAGAAGTTGGCTTTATCAAGTTAACAACAGGGAAATGACTTAAACTCTGGTCTCAGAGCAATTTAAGTTCACAAGAAAATGCCAGCTGTTCTAGACCTGTTGTAGGCTAATGTTTTGTTAAAAGTTTAGAAGTATACAAAAACTCTGATGCCAAAAAGCTGTTGATGTGGGGCCCTCCTGTAGTGCATATATTAATCATTTACAGTTTATTAAACAGATGAGTTTGAATATTAAAAATTTTTGCATAGATATAAACTTAAAGTCAGCTTCTGCACATAAACAAAGTAGTGGTTACTCTGGAGTTAAGGCTGCAAATGGGGATCCGTTATAATCCTATCTTGTTATTTTCTCCCAATTAGGGATTTTTTTGCCTATGCAGTGTTCAAAAAAAAAGGATTTCAGTCTTGATTGTGGCATTTGGATGTGACTGTAACTTAAAAAAGCACTTTCAGAAGGCTGTAAAAATTAAATACTTGAGATCTTGAATTATTCTTCCTGGTAAAGAACTTGAATGGAAGTATTGGGACCTGGAGGGGACAGGTACTTGATACTTTCTTTTGGTCTAAATTTTTCTGACTGCTGAGTGATGTCAGATTCTTAAGACCTTAGATGTGACTTTTAGCCAGAGATTCCTTAAATATTTGAATTTCTAATGTTGCTGAGAGTCTTGACCTCTGAGGATGTTTGACTTCTGCATGTCAAAGCACTGACCCAAAATGATGAATTTGTACTAGAGCATGCATAATATATCTACAATATCCAGTTCAGCACAAAGCATGAAAACCATAGCCACTTCTGAAACTAATGAATACTCAAACTGGAAAACAAAGATTTATTACAGATTTAACTTTTGGTGCTGATGTAATGTTGAATGTATATGAGCTCCTTTGGAAGCTCTCCAAAGTTATTGAGGTATTTTTACTATAGGCTTATGCTTCAGCCTTTCTTGGTGTGCTTAAGTGCTCTAGCTCCTGTTTTTGCTTGCTCAATGGTACCTTAATTAGCTTTAGTTATGTAACCCCTTCATCAAATTGAAAGTGGTCAAAATGCATTAAATTAGGGGAAAACCACTAGATGAGTGCAGAGTTGCGTAAAATTGCACTTCCAAAACCTTCAGGAGAAGGTAACCATTCATGGTGCTTAATTACAGGAGATGCCCAAAGAATAAATGCACCGGAGCCTTAATGGATTTACAGCATATTTCAGTCACTTGATGTGCTAGTCTTAAAGTGCTTATTCTTTCCTCATCTTTTCTATTGAAACGTTCAGTATTTCAAGAGCAAGTAATAGAGGCACTTCTGGATCTCAAAGTTCTGTATATTTGTGGTGCCTTCTTAAGCTCCCAATCACAGCATTCACCTGTGATTTAAAACGAGACTTCTGGTGTCTTCTGTAATCTTTGAGTACTTGTTTGATGAAAGCAGCTTTATTTTTGGATGGCATCTATAGTCTCTGTATTTGGGGGGGGCGGGGTGCAAATACTGAAGTTTTTTTCCTGTTCCTGATTATATGTTGACTTTATAATCGATATATGTCACATTTTTATTTGCAAACAAAAACAGATGCTTAACTGTATTTCAAGTTAAAACTACTAGCCAGTTCAAGTTTGTATGAAACACGCACCAAAACAATTTACGGTCTGTTCTTAGCTTTTTGTAGCTGGCTCATGCCTGGTTTTACTGATCTAAGGAGGTGCCTTAGGTAAGCAATAAACCTCCAACTAAAGTTTTGGGGATGCTTAGATGCATTTTGGCAACAGATTTTATATTTTATAATTTATGGATTTCATTGTTCATTCTGAGACTGTTGGTACTTGCTCTAGGATAGGCTACTGGTAAGAGAGATTTAAGCTAGCTATTTTGTTTTCTGGGTGCCTGACTAGCATTTGTAAGAACTTCAGAGAGCCTTTCAGTGTTCTCATAATTTTTGCTGCTGTTAAGCTTATTGTGTTCTTTATGGCTCTCCACCTAGTTTTTCTTGTGCAGCTGTGCTTCTGCTTGATTAATTCTACTGTTACACTTGTGGTTTTGTTTACTTCACATCTCCCTGTGCTGGCACAGCTTTTAGCTGTTTTATGAAGTTTTCCACCACACTGCTTCTCATAGCAATAAAGGCAAAAAGCTGAAAAGTTGAAATAAAGATGACTTCCTTTTTGGAACTTTAAAGATGCTTGCACCTGGTTTGATTTAAGCATCTTAAAAAAAAACAAACAAAAAAAAACCCCAGACCAAAAAACCCCCCCAAACCCAAACAATAAAAACCCCACAACCCTTTTTTGCCTGTAGGGGAATTCACGCTAGAAAAAGCATTACTGCTGAAACTTTTAAAAATACCTGGCTTAGTTCAGTCTGGCACATCTCTGCCTCCAACAGCAGAAACTCTTGCTGTAATGCTTTTCCATGGTTAGCTTCCTGATGCAGAAAGCTGTTTACTTTATTGAAAGCTGAATAAAGACTTAGTTCCCCAAAAGATTATCACAAACTTTATAAAAGCAAAAGTCAAATAACTGATTTGTACTCTTTACATTGGTACTTTATATGAATGGCAATTGCTAGCTAGAGGAATGTAGCCCTTACTAATGGAATTATCAACCCCTAGATATGCAGTCTAATCTCTGATGTCTGCTGTATTTTTTTTGCCAAAACAGACTGCATTAGTAGCACATTTTTCATTTCTGCAGTCTTTAAGTTGGATGTGTTGAGTAGTAAATAATATTACTAAGCGCTAAGGTGAGTTCTCCCTCTCACTTGCAGGTTTTCTGACTCTCAGGAGGTGGTAGTGTCAACTAGCCCTGACTTTCCTCAGATTTGGGAGCAGGGAGAGAGTGATATCTTCACCTGACAACTTAGCTGAGTCATACAGACAACCTGCTTATGAGATGTTCAGGAGCTTTATGCTTCTTGGCTGACTCTTGCAGTGAAGGCATACACTGGGACATCTTCATTGGTGTACCTAACAGAGCAGTGAAGCTGGAAGCACTTGCATCTGTTATTCTGTAGCAGTACTTAGTGCAAGGCCAGAGAAATTCAAACATCTTTTCCCCACAAGCTGCTTTTTGATGATTTGGATAATTTCTCTGTCCTATGAGTTGCATTATGTTGTCACTGTCTAGGGTGATACTTGTCAAAAGATTATTATGTATTTGCCAGTCAGTGGGGATCAATTCCAGTCAGCCTCTTGAAGTCCTACTTTAGCCTTTCTTTGTCCTTTCTGCTGTCTTCTGTCTGATGATCAAAATGCTGACATGACTCACCCTTCTGGATGGTGTAAAAAATTATTCTCATGGCTTAAATTTGCAATATTTTACAGAACAGAATGCTGAGACATCCCAAGCTTTATTATAAATGTGTTGGCATACCACTTGTGTTTACCTAGAGAGGAATAATGTATGGGAAGGAAGGAAAAGAACATAGAAACATTCAAAACATTGTCTTGCTACAGTCATGTTTGAGAGAGATTGAGCCTTCCTACAGAATATAAGAACAGATTCGTTGTGCAGTATATGTGCATTATTTGGAGGAAGCAAACAAGCAAATACAAAGATTAATTTATTTAATGACTTGAAGTACTTGACATCTGAAATGTGCAGCTCTAAATCATTTAAAATCAGCTAGAGGCTGAAAATCAGGGGGCCAGAGTTTGTAAGCCTTTGTTGTCACTGCTATCATTAGTGGCCCAACTTTCTAGATGAAACAAAGGTTGTCTGGATGAGACTATGCACAGACACAAGCACATAGCATCCTGGAATATAGGTGCATTTGTGTGGCTCTTTCTCTTGGTTGGAGGTGCACGCTGCTGGTCTGGCCAAAAACTTCAGCTGTGTGCAAATATTGATTAGGGAGATATGTGTAGAAAAATTACTTGTAGGAAACATTCTTCAAGGTATGCATTTTTTCCTAATTTGTCAACAGTATCTAGTCTCTGTTACTGTTTGTAGCATTTCTGAACACAAACTGTAAACCTGTATTTACAAAACAGTAGTAAAAGCTATGCAGTCTGCTGCTTTCTAGTCTACAAATACAGATCTGTAGGTATTTATAGATAAGTCAGAATGCTGAGAAATTTCAGTTTTACTTAACCGTTTGATGTGGGTTTTTTCTTCCCTTTCTAGGCTTGAGTGGTCGTTTCTTTGTCACAACACTTCCTACAATTTACCAGTAAGTGTGTCATACTAGAAACAGTTGTCTGTTTCAGTATATGTTCTTTTTTCCTGTCCTGTTTGAACAGTGGCATGGAAGATGTACTGAACAACTGGCTTATTTCACTTTTGTCAATCCCTAAAACATTTTTCAGGAGCTCAGTGCACTAAATGAACATGAAGTATGTGTTTTTAACTTATGGTGGAAGGTTCTCCTATAAACAGTTTTGTACCTAGATAAGAGTGATGCTTTTTTCAGTCTGGAAACAATATTTAATAGCATTTGTAAAAACTGGTGCAGGTTTGCAGTATTGCCTTCTAGAAACCTGACTGTATGTGAGCAGATACACTTGACTGTATAGAAGTGTCACTAAAATTTCTCACTTGAATAATGGACTGCATAAGTTGCATGTAAAACAGTACAGAAATTTTCCACTGTTTGTTGTACTGCTTCTGTGTACTGCTTAGAATTCTTCATCTATTGACTTAGTACCAATATGTAGCTGTTGACTCCTACTTGCCACTTGTTTTAAACTGTAACTCTGAAACGCAGGGGAAAAAGAAGGAATACTGACTTTTGATTTCAGTTCAGGTTAGTGTTGGAGCTTTGATTGTATGATAAAGTCCTCACCTGAGGCTTTTCTTTAGTTTAAGTGACTTTACGAAGTTCCCCTGTTATCAATGCTGTTAAAAATGGATCAGAAGAGGTGTTTGCTGTATATCTTCTCCAATAAGAAGCTGTCATCCTTTAAATATTGAACCCTTTATTAAGTCATGGTATTACGGGTAGTGCATATATACACACACAGACACACACATATATATATATGCACACTTTTAATTCTGAGTTGTGTCTGAAAAATGGTTTGGTGGTTATCCTCATGTGCTTTGTATTTGCTGTAATGCAAGTGACTATTTAAGAAAAATAGTGGTTTTAATAAATGGCAAAAGCTCATGCATTTTAAAAACTGAGACCTTCCATCATGGATTACAGTTTTAAAACATACTGAAAATGCTTAGGTGTTCAACTTTCTGAGCAAGTCAAATCTATAATGTATATGGATTTTTGTTTGGTTTGTTTTTTTTTTTACCATAGATACAGTTTAAGGGATATCTGTGTTATTGTATATTTCTGTTTTTTTAGTGCAAATGATGGAGTATTTCGCAGATACCGAGGCTCACGGACATTGGAAGATCTTCAAGGTTATGTTTTAGAGAGAAAATGGGAAGCTGTGGAACCTGTAGCAGGATGGAAGTCTCCATCTTCTATAGTGTAATACTTTGTTTTTCTTAACAAGAAACATGTTTTGTAGCTCATTATTCATTAAGAGTGCTATGTTGACAGCTTCAAGACAAAAGGCTTTTATTCCCTAGACATGTAGGCTTTGCAGAAGCAATCTATATTGACAGCCTGCTTTCCAGTTTCTCACCTTTAAAAGCAGTTTATTTTCTGTATCCGCTTTTGTTTGTGCCTGCTAAGGCTTGTTTATATAATCTTTGAAAATATATAAAGAAAAAAAGTACAGCCACTGAGCATTATATAAGTGTCTTTTTCAATATCTGCTAAGTACTGGAACCAAATGCATGTTTATGTAAATTATTACTTCATGACTTCTGGCTACTCGGGGGAGGCAGCCTTTAGCTTTAAGGATTTCTTGTTTATTTGTTTAGAAGGAAGTCTTGTGTCCTCTCTTGGAATAGGAAACAGTGTAGTGCTTACACAGTATATTAGAATTGTTTTTCAGAGCATTGAATTTGCTTTGAAATAGCATCGAATGCTTGTGTGATATAAAGGATGAACCAAAGATGTGAATGGCCTGTATTTGATTCTGGCTAAAGCTATTATGTGTAAATTCATGTCAGACATCCAGTGAGTGTCCTTATTTTTCATCTGACAATGAGGAAGAGCTGTAGGATATTTAGTAATTGGGAGAGGAGCTACAGGGCTGCATGCTGCTGTGAGTTGGGGAGAAGGTGGTTACAGCTGCACAGGGTTAAGCTGTGGAATTGCTATTTCTTGATTATGCTCAGATGTCATCTTTCAAGTCACTGTTTCAATGCTTTGCATTGAGCTGGCTTAAATTAACATAATTTTGTTTGCAGTAGCCTCCTTCTGACAATTACTAGGGCCTGAATGGCTTTGAAAGTCTATAAATCTTTTTCTGGTTTCTGTGCAGTTTGTTGTGTATCTCAACTCCTGTCTGTCTTGTAACCTGTTCCTTCCATTTCTTTGTTTTTTAGGATGCATGGCATGGCAGGGCTATTTCACCTCTCTGGATGGATCAGGGTAAGTAACTATGTAGTAGTGTTTTCCATACCCCCTTTTTATGCTTAGAATAATCTGCTTAGAAGTCAAAACCTAACTGAATATTTTTATTAACCTTTTATCAGAGTTAAATTTTCCTTACATTTACTGTACATTGGGTGTATAGTATCTTTGCACTATAAATTTTGTGGTACTAATGGACTATGCCAAAAATGGCAGTTTGATTGTAAAGATTATCATCAATACTGAAAATACTTACTATTCTTGTTATCTTGGTATAGTTAAAATGTTCTACTGAAGTGTGCTAACAGGATAAATTAGTTTTTTGAGAGCTGCAGCAAAAATGGTTGTAAACATCAGGAATACATTTAGTATCTACCAGGTTCTCTCACTTAATACTATTACTAAAGATTATATCCAGGTTCATTTTCAGCATTGTGAATCGTGCTCTTCTGTAGTTTGTTTGCATCTAGGGTATTGTACAGGAGAAGAGAGGGTAATGGTTTTATTTTTTAGTAAGAATTTCTGCATCTGGATTTCAAACTGTCAATGCCATTCACACAGGAACACAACAAATTTGGACGAGTAATTATCAGAAGTAAAGGAGAAAGGCTTAGCATACACTGAAGTATGCTTTGAACTTAAAAATATTTCAAAACCCTTTCATTTGGGAGCTATCAAAGTTTTTCCTGTAGCATGCAAATACTGAGAATTTTCAGACCTTTCCAATTTTGGTCAGGAAACGTACTCTTTCTTAAAATCATCAAGTGTAACCGAGATTGAGAGACTGTCTTTGTAGCAAAAGGTCTTAATACTGTAACGTGCTACAAAAAATAAAGGTAGTAGAGGGTTTGAACAGAGTTGGTATTGCTTCCAGCAAGCATCTAACTAACCCAGAATCAAACAGAACTTTCAGTTGTTAGGTTTCCTCTGCAAACTGTCTGATTCTTTCTTTCACTGAATAGTATTAACTTTTTATAGCCTTCTGATGTTTCACTTCCATAGTTGCTGTGTAATGATGTTGTCTCTGTCTAGTTTCCTTCCTGAAAGATTAAATGCTCTGGGAAGAAACCTTCTCTAATTTGCTTTCTGCTTTGATGAGTATTTCGGCTGCACATTTCATCACTCTTCTTGCTGTGCTGTCCTTGTATATGCTATAATAAATGTTGGAAGCTGTTCTAACATTAAAAACAAACAAACAAAACCACCCTGGAATTTCGATATTTAAACTTTTGTAAATGTAGATTGTGGTTTGTTTTCTAATGGATATACTCTTAGAAGAGATCTAATGTCATAATTTACTTCCTACCAGACAATCTGACTTGATGTGATGCTTGGTTCAGTCAATTGAATTTGTAGGTTTGAATAACAGACTTCAGTTTCAAAGAAATCTTAATATTGTATTTGGATTATTCTCTTTAAATTTATAAGTGAAATCACTTTTTCAGTGTCTGCTTAGAATGGGTGGCTTCTTTTAAGAACTAAAGAGCTTGAGTAAGAACTATATGGCTTAATTTTAGTTAATGAATGAATTCCCAAATTTAAATATGTATTTTCATCTTGTGCAATTTTTAAGTGTCTACCACTCTGCTTCCCAGATATAATTATGGGGATAAAGCTCTGCATGAAGTTAAATTTTTTTCACTTGGTGGTGTACTTGAGAGGTAGTTGTAAAAGGACACTTGCTTTTAACCTGACTTGATTCTTTTTTGGTTCTGAAATGTTTAAGTTACCTTTTTTAAATAATCAGCTTTGTAGACTTCTATGGGTGCTGTGGCTATCATTATTGGGCACGTTTACTGTATTGTCTCCTTCCTACAACAGAGGCCATAAGAACAAATGTACGGGTTCATGCCATGGGTTCATCTAGCCCAATAGTCTGTCTCTGACAGTTCCCACCTTCTTACAGAATATAATGATCAAGAATGTTGTGATACTTTCCGCTATGCTCTGAGGCTTCATACATTTATCTGCAGTAAGATTACATACGGCATCTCTAATGCTGAGTACCTTAGGAATAAGGAATTGTGCATCCTTTGCTTAAAAAGCCTTTTAATGTGAACAACTCCGTAAAGAACAACAAGGTTTAATGGTGTCAAAAGAATTACAGTATGACATTTAAGGATGACTAGGGCTTGAGGGGGAAGACTTTACTATAAATACTGTTAAATGAAAGGTCTTAATTGGATATCAATTTATGTAATGGCGACAGCAGTATCATAAGTGTTGTTAGGTATGAAGCTATTAAGTATCTTCTTCTCATTTCCAGCAAATTCATAGCTACCTCACTGGTGCTCTTGGGATTAATGTTTGGATTTCTTATGCCATCTTCATCTTAGCTACCTTATTGATTGGCCTGTTCCTGGGTTTGGTAAGAAAGCATATTACTTTATTTTTCTCAGGTACCTTGAACTTTTGCTTTGCATTAACTTGTGAAAAATAGAATAAACTTCACTGATAAGATGTACTGAAGTACCTTATTTTAATGACATATCTCTTCTCCCTGGTATCCAGTGATAAGACACACGGGGGTGGTTCAAAGCTGTGCCAAGGAGGTTTAGACTGGACATTAGGAAGCATCTCTTTACTGAGAGAGTGGTCAAACACTAGAATAGGCTTCCTAGAGAGGTGGTTGATGCCCCAAGCCTGTCAGTGTTTAGGAGGCATTTGGACAATGCCTGTAATAACATGCTTTGACTTGGTCAGCCCTGAATTGGTCAGGCAGTTGGACTAGATGATTGTTGTAGGTCCCTTCCAACCAAAATAGTCTACTCTCTTCTATTAAAATTCTTAAATATTCAGTACTGCAGATCCACTCTCCAGTGCTGTTACCTACTTCTGGTAAAGGTTAAGACTGGTTCACTCAAAGTTAACCTTTTTATGAAATTCATGCTTCAATTTAGATTTGTTTAGTCCATCCACTAAATAAGTGATTTTTATATTGGCCTTTTGTATCCAGACTTTTGTACTTAAGGACTGAATGGATGCGTGTGGTCAGAATTGTGTTAAGACTCCCAACTTTCTAAAAACACAGGCTTTGTGGAGAGATTTTTATTAGCTGGAATAGGATTGTATTTGTGGGAGTTAGCAACGTAAGTATGCTGCTGCACTGTTATTCAAAATGAAAGGATGAAATATTTTTTAAAGGCTTTGAAGATTTGGGGGTTTAATTGATTTACTCTATTCCAGGGCATAGCTTTGTGGTTACAGCTTGGTTTTAATAAAATCTGACTTAAATTCTTTCTCCCCTGTGATCTTTTGGTTTGAGTTCTCATTAGTAATTGAAAAATCTGACCTCTCTTGTTACAAACTAGAACTGGTGTGTTGATATATCAATTTCCAAAACATCAGGAAGGTTATTAAAACAAACCTGTTAGTTATATATGTGAATGTTAAGGACTATATCCTGAGCCCTGTGTTGTTTCATCAGTGGAAACAGTTCAAAGTTGCTTTACCTGTGGAGCTGGGATTATTTCCTCTCAGAATATTTGAATGATGTGGCTCTGTGACCTCTCCAATATCAGTATTAAATGAGAAACTGAGCTGGAAAAGGAGATATAGATGGGAATAGAAGTTCTTTCAGACTAGTTGCTTGGTCTACAAGCATGTTCTGCAACTGCAAAGACAGTTTAAAACAGTTATGCTGATAACTGTTTAACTACCTGCTAAGTCACTATTCCACGTAGGAAGTGTAAAGGTTGTTTCTGGCACTTGGAGCTCTGCCCTTCAGCCCAAATATTAGTGTTAGTGAAATGAAGAAAAATGGTGTAAGTATGTTTCTCAGTAGTATGGGGAAGTGATTTCAAAGCAGTGTGTGTATTTAGGCAAAACCACGTTTTTATACCTAATTGAATTGGTATATATGAGCAAATGTCTTTCACTGTACAATTTAAACAGCTGCATTTTTCTAGATGGTAGATTTTCATCCCCAAATGAGTGCAAATCAAGTTAGTGTAACTAGGAGCAAATTAATATGATAATTTAAAAAAAAAAACTTCCCTTCTTCCTCCTTCACTAAAAAAAACCAAACATGAAAAAGCTGAAAAAACGTAAGGTTAATCTTTCAGCTTTTTCTAAAAAGCTTTTCAATGATTGAAATATATTTCTTTTAACATGGTATCATCTCTTTCTGCTGCGTTATTCTAGCACATGACAATAAGACATAAATATCTTCTTGCAGTTTGATTGTATGTGTTCGACACTAGGCTGCTTTGAATAACAGCAACAAAAAAACCTAAAAGACAAAATCAAGCACAAAAGGTGGACGTACACATCGTGGATTGGGGAGTCACGGGTAGGAATTGAATAACATCCCAAAATACAGAAAATTTTGACAAAGAAGGTTTCATAAGTTTTAAATAAATAAAAAAATCTTCAACTGTGTTCTGGGCCTCTCAAGATGCAAGCCATTTCAAAACTGAGTAAATTTAGGGAAGTAGGAGGCAGAAAATTTGGAGTAGAAAGCAGAGAATGTTGGCTGGTATACACTGAGAATGCAGTTTTTCCTGTCTTTTTATTTAGCTCTTATCTCTGAGCAAGAAAATATAATTTTCTAACTTTTATTGTATGTCTATCTAAAAAGGATGAGTAGGAAAATACTTAATAGTGCAGGGGCTGCTGGGATGATTTGCTAATAAACGCTTTTTTTTCCTTTACACAGATACTGGTTTTGATTTCAGACTGCCTTTGCCCATCCAAGTCAAGATACAGAGCTGAAGCATCTGGTAAGAACTCTTAAGTGGCTGGGATACTGTAGGTTTAAATGTGAACTTGCAGGAGGGAGGGCAATACACTGTCAAGAACTTAGATGTGAGCCAATAATCCAGGTATTCATTTTAGTCACACTGACAAAGATTGGTATGTTGGGCTCTAAAATCCTGATGTCAAAGCATCCACCTGAATGGTAGCAAAGCAGACCAAAAAAAACCCACCGCAGACCAACAGTAATTTGTTCTAGCTTCCACAGCTGTGAAGAGGCTAAATGCATTCAAAATGAGGAAGTCTTGAAGAAAGATACTGGAGTTTGTGTATTTTGTGCAGGTGCATATTCACTAGACTTGTTGCTTAAATATAGAAAGGAATTTGCTTTGGCAGGACACTTCCACATCCTAATATGCACTCTGTATATTGCATTAGGAGATGCAACATTCTGAATCTGTAAAATTCTCTACGTAATTTGTGGTTGGGGAAAGGAGGAGATAGAGGGAATCAAATTAATCTAGAGACTGCAGCTGTGGGGATGGGGGAAGGTGTTGCATCTCCTTCAAATAAAACAAGAAAACATATCTTCCTGATCCTTAGTGAAAGGGCTTCGGAATAGTATTCTGCTCCCTACAAACATGTGAGGCAAAAACTTGCACACGAAATAAAGTCTCTTGTCAGCACCATATGTGTGTTAAGCTCCAGAACACCTTTTGGTATGTTTGTGCTATTAAGTGGAGTCAAAACTCGACTGTAATTAAAAACTTATTTTTTAATTGCATACATTTGTGTGCATTGGTTTGCTGTTGAAGAGGAAGGTGCATTTGTGACACTGGCCAATAAGACTTTAGCCAAATCTAGAATTTGTAAGTGTGCAAAATTACCATCTTCAAAATCTTAGATGTTCATCACTATCAAAAGAAAAATGCATCTGTGCATACTTGTGCAGTATGCTATCCAATTGCCTGGTTGACTCAACAGCAGCTGTTACCTGACAGAGCTTACCAGTATCTTATCACTTTCCCACTGATTTCTTTGATAATTATACCTCTTCAAGGAGTCGGGTAAAATTGATCTTTCTTTAGTTTGTAACTTGGTGGAACAAAATGGAAGCTATCTATGCCTGATATGCAAGAAAATCAAATGAAAATGGAGGAGAAATACTACTGACGATTTATTTGAAATAATTGAAAAATAAGGAAAATAGTCCTGTACAAGTTTTCAATAATAACGTTTATGAATATTTCAGAATACATACACAGTGATGTAACTTGAAAAGACATCGTTCTGAGATTCAGTCTAACTTCAGTATTTGAAACTCCTCTTTTCTTTAGAAGAAGCAATTACAAAGGATAATGTGGAGAATGCAGCATTAGAAGAACCGGAGGAGGCTGCAGAGCTTTCCGCAGATGATGCGGAAGAGACTGCAGATGTAAAAGATCTTTCAGATGGAGAAGATGCAGCAAATTCAAGTGCTGATGACTCAGAGGAGGATTTAGCACTTGGAAAAGAATCAGGGGAAGAAGAAATGGAAGACTTAAGTGAAAAACCTTTAGCTGATCCAGAGACTGAAAGCTCAGTAAGACAGCGTAAAAGTCAGGTGGCTGATAATGGACTATAGTTTTTTCGGTGGTGTATTTTGTACACTTGGACCAAAGAAGTATCAGACCCTGGGTCTGAAGTTGAAGCTTACACTTGATTTGTCATTTGTGTTTACGCAAAACCTCTGCTCTGTCAGCAGACTTCTCTTTTTTTAAACTAATACTTGCTTACTTTGTTTTATAAGCACATATGCTGTGTGTTGCATTAAGTTGCGTAACTTTAGCCATGACAATCAAAATAAGTGTATTTTATCTCTTTGAAGTCTTCTAAGAGAAAAGGAGTGTAACAGCCTCAGTTCACCAGCTGTAAAATGGTAATCTATGCTTGTGTTCCTTTAAGTATTAACCTAAGCAAGATCAGGAGTTTTAATTCTTTACAGTAGCTCGGCAGGACTGTGACTTTTCTGTCTGAATGTTTATTGTTTCCATATGCCACAGAAACACCAGAGAAGTGATACAGTAGTGAAAGAAGGCACCTTACTAGTCTTCTATTAAAAATGTTGTGTACGATGTGTTTATTTTTATCACTTTCAACTGAAGCACCTTTCTCTTTCATTTTTATTAATGTTTGCTCTGAAAGTTTATCATAGAGTATGCACCCAAATTTTTCAGTTTTTGGTAATTCAGAGGCATGTTGCACAGCTCAAGCTTGTCAGCTGAGTTTTTTGACCCAAGGAGTTTAAGTAATTGAAAACCTCAGGCCGAGAAAGAGTGGCAGCTAAATGTTTAAAATACGTTTGAACTTTTAAAAGGTTTAAAGGAAATTATTTTGGTCAGGGGGGATTTTTGCCAAAGCGTGACTCTATCTCCCCGCCCCCCGCCAAGAGATTGTAGCAAGAAGTATTCATTTTGCAGTCAGTAAGTTGTGTATTTCTTGCCAATACAAGCTTGTCATATGCAGTGCAGTTCTGCCATTTCCAACTCAAAATACTTTTAGCAGAACTCAAACTGCTTTAGTAATATTAACTGAAGAGGCACTTAAGGTTTTACCTTTGATTGCATTTCTACGTTTTGTCACTGGAATCGGCATGTTAAGAAAAGAGAGGGACATGAGTGGGTAGTGGGGAGAAGCTTTTGGTTTTGCTACTTATATCAGGATAAACATGGGTCTATTGAACTGTGTAAAGTGAAAATGGCTTGCCAGCTAGACAGCATTAGGTATGATTAGAAGACTTAAGTCATTAGAGATATCAGTATTTCCCTCCTTTGACTTGGTTAATATATAAGGCTTTTTTTGGTAAGGAATCCCTACAGTGAGATCCTGTATGTTCCTACTTTGTTGATGTGTGATCATGTGCATAAGATGTCTTAATCTTGATTTTTTTTTTAAATGTGCGTATATATATATTTTGCATAAACCTTGATAACATGCATGAATTTCATCTTGTTCTTCAAGAATAAAGAGTAATCAGAGATGAAATCATCTCATCAGAAGAGAAGTTGCAAGTGCAAAATGCTGGTTTCCTTTGAGACTGAGATTAATAGGGCCAATTTGTGTTGAAAGTTGTTTTGGTTTGGGTGGTTTTGTTTTTGCTGGTTTTGTTTTTTTTATTTAATAAATGCTCATAAAGAGCATATTTACTATGAAAGCTTAACTTTTCCTGTCTGTGTCTTGTTGCATACTGTGTCTTGGAACTATATGGTAGAAACTTTGCATTTGTCTGTTACAGCTGTGTAAAGAACAAAATTACACTGCATAGATTGAATATGAATTTTCTTAAGGAACTTTCTCAGTCTGGAGCTTGAATTTCATATAGTGGACACATGTAAGTATGCTTTCACATTTGTGAAAACATATAGTTGATAATATATATAAATTGCACTATAATGAGAAGAATTTGTCTTGTGTTATTTGGGTGCTGTCCTATGTAACTGAGCAATTATAGAAGCTTACAGAAGAACTCAGTTGAGGTACATAGCAGCTTTTTTTTTTTCTCTGAAAAAAAACCCAAAACCAACCCAAAAACCAACGCCAAACTCAAGCTAAGCTTTTATTTGCAAAAATTAAGAAAACTTTGTGGCCACTGTAGTCTGTAGGGAAGAACTGTGTACCTAAAAGCTCAGAGTACAGATTAGTTGTTTCCACCATGTGTTTGCTTTTTTTCATTATCTGTGCATCAGGAGCTCATAAAAGTCTAAAAGAAAAACAAGACTTTAACCATATTCCATGAGACAAGCAGGAGTCAGTGTGTGTATATTCATTTACATGAACTTGCATAAGACAAGAATAGACATATCCCCTCAGTCACAGATCCAAAACTACCAGATGCTGAAAAATATATGGGACTGTATCCAGCACAGATTGAGGGCAATGATGGCTTTGATTGTGTACCAAAGAGGATATTTTATACTGCATAGGGTCTTGTGATACTCAGTGTGTAGGAGGGGGCATGTCAATATTAAATTTTGATTCAATTTCTCTTCACTTTTGTAATATCATGGAGCCAGTCATCTAATATCCTCTTCAGCTGTTTAAAGAGGTTTTAGCTTTAAAACATGCGGAATATCCTTATACCTCACAATGGCTTTGTTGTATGCTGTTGGAAATATGAAGTATTAAAAAGTCAAGTGTACCTCTTTTCAGTACTCAAGATATGAGGTATTTGGGCTTTTTGAATGTTCAAACAAGGTGTTCTCACAAGAGTTGCATTTCATTACAGTGTCTTTGAATTTAAAAAAAAAAAACGAACAAAAACAAAAACCACAAATGATACTTTGTCCTGTAAGATACGTGGTTTATGAGATGCTGTGAGAAAGATCAGAAGCTCCTTTGCGTGGTGATTTTCTGAAGTATCTGCTTACATTTCCTCTGTTTTTCCATGTCACTGTTAAGTTTGGATTATTTACAATGAAGATATTAAGTATTTTCCATCATAAAAGACCTATCTGTAAGATCACTCACTGATGAGCAGGGATTAAGTAAGCAGGCAGCAAGTGACAGTAGTTCATCTCTTTATAGATCTGTCTTGTAAGTCTGGAAATGAGCTGTACTAGGCTTTTAAAGTTTTTTTGAACATAATATGTATGTCACTGCTCCTGTGTTTTCATTCATAAAGTAGGGAATATTAATGCTAACTTGGGTTTGACTGTATTTGACATGCATTGGAGTACTATGAAGATCACTAAATTGTGATTAAGACTAGAAGAACAGGTGCTGTGCAACCATTGATACCTCCAACTTAGTTTTATATTTGTAGGAAAAATATTGTAGCATGATACTGGAGATACTTAACTTTGATTAATGTTTATCTGGCAAACAACAAGTAGCAAACACTGTAAAGGCTAAATTTGTGTTTAACAGAAAGACCACTAGCTATGCAGTAGAAGTGTAATGTTAATATACTTTCCAGAATCAGGGCTTTTTCCACTAAAAAAATCATGCAAGTATAGTACTAATTAGACTATTATGATAATATTAAACTTGGTGTGTTTCCAAAAAAAAAAAGTCAGTATCAACCTTTTGTGCAATCTGAGTGTTGTTATCTCTGTTCTGTTGTGATTAATTAAAAAAAAATGGAACGTGTTCTTGCAACCTCAGTATAGACAAAATGTCCTTGGAGAAGCTGCTGCTACCGCTGTTAAAAATGTTTTGATTAAGGATAGGGCTGCAAGGCTTGTAAACTAGAGCTGTATGTCAAAAATTACTTAAGGTTTTTGAGAACCAATTTAAATTTCAAATGGGATGCATGCCACTCTGAAAACCAGTCCCTGATGGATCTGAACATGAATGCTTAAAAGCAAGTAATTAAAAAAATCCAGTGGGTTACTTTTTAAAGAGGCCGGAAATACATACAGCTTTCAAAACTCTTGTCCTCGAGATCTGTGTAAAACTTGTATGTGTATCTTGGAATACTCTATATATGCTGCACCCGTGCTGGGCAACACTTGTTATGTGGGCTTTCTTCATGGAAATGTTGAACAGGATTGTCTTTTCTGTGAAAGTGTTGCAAATTTATACTGGAATTCCATATAAATTTTGTATTTATGATAATCTTGTAGTTAGTTTTTATTTTCTCAGTGTGTAGATGGCTCATCTGTGTACTTAAGGAAAGGTTATTTTTTTAATACTGATTTTCCAATTAATAATAGAGGTTGTGACTTGTGGATTTGTGAAGATTCCTTAAACTCTTTAAAACAAACCTGTACACTAATGAATTGCTTCCTTGTTACATGAGTGAAAAAATGCTTGGAAGAAGCATACCTAGATGGAGGGTTTTACTGTAGGAACTCTGGGCTGAGCAGTACACTCTTGAAGGTATAAAATGCAGCTGGGGTTCAAATGCAGGCTGCCAGGCAAAATAGTGTAACTCTGAATCCCTGAGGGCTTCACCTCAGTACCTCTACGTTAGGTTAGCTCTCCCCCCTCCCCCCTCCCGCCCTGAGAAATCCACTAACTCTGAAAATCGTGTGCGAACTCTGTCTGGGATTTGGAGGACAGCAGTACATTTCTCCCTACTGATGTGGTCAAAAAGAAGTGTATGGATCTAGACAGCACATCTCACTGTAGTTCACAGCAAGCAGTTGTTGCTAAAGATATAGGCCTTAGGGCCAGCTGTGCTGTGGAGGGAGAAGTGACTGCCAGGAACCATTGCTGCAGTGTATTTGAATGATGTGAACAACAGCTGGATCCAGTACATGGATTCATTCTCTTAGGGTGAGTTTCCTGAACTGCCTTTCACTGTGAACAGAACTGCTGCATGGGTTGGGTGATTTGCCATTCACTTCAGTTTTCTTCTTTTCCATTGCATTGATTTCCTGATGTAAAGTTGAAGGGGGAATGGTATCAAATGAAGCCCTTGCAAGCGTTTTGTTGTTTCACTATTTAATCAGCTACTTCTTGTTCTGCCTCATGATGTGAGAATATGAAATTTTCCCCATGAAAACAGGCAGGTGGAATACTACAGGCAAAATCTGGTTGGGCTTTGAAAATTGCTTTGTTTAAGCAATCAGACAAACATAAGCTCCATTTTTATAGAGGAAATATGAAGATAACTGATGGCTGTACTGGAGCAGTTAAAAAGCTTAAGTTTCTACCTTGGAATTTTGAACAGGACCAGTGGTAACTCCCGGCTCCAGCAATGGGGCTGCCGAGTAGCATGTGCTTCCTCCTAGGAGCTGATCACACATTGAAAATGAAAAGCTGCATGGCTTTGCAGCAGGTCTTTTGGCTGCAGTATGGTAGTGGGAAGCAAACAGATCCCCTCCTTTTCCCTCTTCTGAGTATTAACCCACCCCCCCACACACACACAGAGGAAACACCAGGATGCTTGGCTGCAAAGGGCTGCCCGGGAGGAAACAGTGCATGTCCCTTGTGATGCTTTTGCAGCTTTTCTCAGGAGCTGCCTGCCTCTTCTCCAGTTTTCTGCTTATCCTTCTACTCCTAACCCATCACGCAACAGCGGTTCATTTGTAAGCTTGCTTACCAGGGAGCCGAGTCTGCTGATACCTTTCTTTCATTCCCTTCCCTACAGGGGAATAAAAAGTGTTGTGGTTTACTTTAATGAAGACTGTGGTGACTGCTTCTTTTAATGAAACATCTTTATTTCTTTCCTAGTAGAAAAACGCTTTAGAAACTGTGTACTCTTTTGTCTTTACTGAGAAGAAAGCTCTGTATTTAAACATATGGTGAACAAATGGGGATTTAGTAATCAAATATTTTCATTAAATTTCCGTTTTATATGGAAAGGCCATTTTTGTTGACTCGTTAGAATTTCTCGGAGCCTGCTAATACTTCAGGCTTTTCTATCTGTTAATCTGAATCCCAGCGGGGTGTGAGAGCTGAACCTAGGCACCACTGATCGTCTTGGCACAGGCTGTGCCAGTAGCTCACGCGCTTGTGGAGCATGCAGAAATGACAGTGGTCATTTAAAGTGTTTGACTGTCAGTCCTATGTCAAGGACATGAAAAGATCATGCTTGATAAGGGCACTTTTTTATGTCTGGTTATTGCTGTGCGGCTGGGTGGCCAAAAATAGCACTGAGAACCTCTTTGTAGATCTCTGCTGGATTGTTTTCATTGTACTCGAAGTCATCCAGATTCTCCCAGGAGCACTGGTCCTCCGTTTGATGCTCCAGTCTCCCTCCACCCCAGTGGTTCCCAGCCTTCCCAGCTGACTTCCCAAAATAGACATTCAGAGGCTTGTTAGGGCCACCAGCTGAATGGCCAGGAAACTGTCCTCATCCGTGCAACAGGTCCATTGTTTTTGACTTGGTCTCATGCTGAAGTTGCAGATGGCTGCTGGGAAAAAAAAAACCCAAGTATTTTCTGTTGATTCTTCTGACTGACTTGGAGGGGCCAAAGTAAACTGGTTCAGTTCTAAATGATGTGAGATATTTGCTGAAAACCCTTCATCATCTGTAAATCGGTATTTTTTTGACTTTATTTGAAGAAATTTACAAATGTTCGTGGGGAATTTGGAAGTCAAAATAACCATTTACTTATGTAAGTTACTTGATAAAACAGCTTTACATAACAGTCTTAATAAATAGGTAATCACTGGGACGTTGAAATATTTTAATTATATACTGCAGTTAACTTTTCCA